GACAAGTCCAGGTCCCGAGCGGGATGGATGGATGACAGTCAGGAATGAGCGTAGTCAGACTAGCCAAGTCGGTAACGGTGGAGGCAGGTAGGTACCAAACTGTAGACAGAGAGCAGCCGGGTCACGAGCCAAGGTTCAGCAACGGGAGGTCCAATAGTAATATACAACAGGCAGGAGAGTAGTCAGGGACGAGCCGGGGGTCAGAGCAGGAGAAGGTCAACACAAATCAGGAGGATCAGCAACAGGAACACACTTCAGAACACGGTACAGGAACTAGACCTTGCGGCAACCTAGTCACCATCTGGCTAGTTTAAATAGTGCACCCTGCACAGTCATTGGTGCAATTGCCGACGCCCAGGTCCTAGTGCCTGAACATTAGTGCACCTAGGCAATCTGTGTATGTGCAGACCTGTGCGCCGCTGCGAGACCCGCAGTCCCTGACACCCCCTGTGCAATACTATTCATATGGAAGACTTCAATGTTTGAGACTTGATAGGACAACTGTCCTAAATTCACCCACCATATAGAAGGCGCTCACCTGAACAGTGAGAGGACAAATTGAAATGCAACGGGCATCAAGGATAGTCATGAACTAGATATATCATTATGTATGTATGTATGTATGTATGTATGTATGTATATATATATATATATATATATATATATATATATATATACAGTCAGGTCCATAAATATTGGGACATGTACACAATTCTAACATTTTTGGCTCTATACACCACCACAATGGATTTGAAATGAAACGAACAAGATGTGCTTTAACTGCAGACTGTCTGCTTTAATTTGAGGGTATTTACATCCAAATCAGGTGAACGGTGTAGGAATTACAACAGTTTGCATATGTGCCTCCCACTTGTTAAGGGACCAAAAGTAATGGGACAGAATAATAATCATAAATCAAACTTTCACTTTTTAATACTTGGTTGCAAATCCTTTGCAGTCAATTACAGCCTGAAATGTGGAACGCATAGACATCACCAGACGCTGGGTTTTATCCCTGGTGATGCTCTGCCAGGCCTCTACTGCAACTGTCTTCAGTTCCTGCTTGTTCTTGGGGCATTTTCCCTTCAGTTTTGTCTTCAGCAAGTGAAATGCATGCTCAATCGGATTCAGGTCAGGTGATTGACTTGGCCATTGCAGAACATTCCACTTCTTTCCCTTAAAAAACTCTTTGGTTGCTTTTGCTGTCTGCTTTGGGTCATTGTCCATCTGCACTGTGAAGCATCCAATGACTTGTGAAGCATTTGGCTGAATATGAGCAGATAATATTGCCCGAAACACTTCAGAATTCATCCTGCTGCTTTTGTCAGCAGTCACATCATCAATAAATACAAGAGAACCAGTTCCATTGGCAGCCATACATGCCCACGCCATGACACTACCACCACCATGCTTCACTGATGAGGTGGTATGCTTAGGATCATGAGCAGTTCCTTTCCTTCTCCATACTCTTCTCTTCCCATCACTCTGGTACAAGTTGATCTTGGTCTCATCTGTCCATAGGATGTTGTTCCAGAACTGTGAAGGCTTTTTTAGATGTCATTTGGCAAGCTCTAATCTGGCCTTCCTGTTTTTGAGGCTCACCAATGGTTTCCATCTTGTGGTGAACCCTCTGTATTCACTCTGGTGAAGTCTTCTCTTGATTGTTGACTTTGACACACATACACCTACCTCCTGGAGAGTGTTCTTGATCTGGCCAACTGTTGTGAAGGGTGTATTGTTCACCAGGGAAAGAACTCTTTGGTCATCCACCACAGTTGTTTTCCGTGGTCTTCCGGGTCTTTTGGTGTTGCTGAGCTCACCGGTGCGTTCCTTCTTTTTAAGAATGTTCCAAACAGTTGTTTTGGCCACGCCTAATGTTTTTGCTATCTCTCTGATGGGTTTGTTTTGTTTTTTCAGCCTAATGATGGCTTGCTTCACTGATATTGACAGCTCTTTGGATCTCATCTTGAGAGTTGACAGCAACAGATTTCAAATGCAAATAGCACACTTGAAATGAACTCTGGACCTTTTATCTGCTCATTGTAATTGGGATAATGAGGGAATAACACACACCTGGCCATGGAACAGCTGAGAAGCCAATTGTCCCATTACTTTTGGTCCCTTAAAAAGTGGGAGGCACATATGCAAACTGTTGTAATTCCTACACCGTTCACCTGATTTGGATGTACATACCCTCAAATTAAAGCTGACAGTCTGCAGTTAAAGCACATCTTGTTCGTTTCATTTCAAATCCATTGTGGTGGTGTATAGAGCCAAAAATGTTAGAATTGTGTCCATGTCCCAATATTTATGGACCTGACTGTATATATCTATATATATATATATATATGTCAAAGGCAAGTATTTCAAAGTATAAATAAGAGTAGAGGAAGAGGCTATTTCCACAAGGAGACCACTTACCACCATTCCCCACCTTCCTCTACATACATAAATACCACATACTATATATCCTACACTATATACAGGTGAAACTCAAAAAATTAGAATATCGTGCAAAAGTTCATTTATTTCAGTAATGCAATTTAAAAGATGAAATATATGAGATAGACTTATTACATGCAAAGCAAGATAGTTCAAGCTGTGATTTGTCATAATTGTGATGATTATGGCTTACAGCTCCTAAAAACCCCAAATCCACAATCTCAGAAAATTAAAAATTACATGCAATCAATAAAACAAGGATTGTACATAGAACAATATCGGACCTCTGAAAATTATAAGCATGCATATGTACTCCGTACTTGGTTTGGGCCCCTTTTGCAGCAATTACTGCCTCAATGCGGCGTGGCATGGAAGCAATCAGCCTGTGGCACTGCTGAGGTGTTAGGGAAGACCAGGATGCTTCAATAGTGGCCTTCAGCTCTTCTGCATTGTCCGGTCTCATGTCTTTCATCTTTCTCTTGGCAATGCCCCATAGATTCTCTACAGGGTTCAGGTCAGGCGAGTTTGCTGGCCAATCAAGCACAGTAATCCCACGGTCATTGAACCAGGTTTTAGTGCTTTTGGCAGTGTGGGCAGGTGCCAAGTCCTGCTGGAAAATGAAGTCAGCATCCCCATAAAGCTTGTCTGCGTAAGGAAGCATGAAGTGCTCCAAAATCTCCTGGTAGAGGGCTGCGTTGACCCTGGACTTAATGAAGCACAGTGGACCAACACCAGCAGAAGACATGGCTCTCCAAATCAACACAGACTGTGGAAACTTCACACTGGACTTCAAGCATCTTGCAGTGTGTGCCTCTCCATTCTTCCTCCATACTCTGGGTCCTTGGTTTCCAAATGAGATGCAAAAGTTGCCCTCATCAGAAAAGAGGACTTTGGACCACTGAGCAACAGACCAGGTCTGCTTTTCTTTAGCCCAGGTAAGAAGCTTCTGACTTTGTTGTTCAGGAGTGGCTTGACATTTGAATATGACATTTGAAGCCCATGTCCAGGATCCGTCTGTGTCAGGGCTCCCAGGTGTGACCAGAGGTGTGTGGCTGACGCAGGGAAACGCAGACCTCAGATATGTTATAAACAATATAATTTATTAACACTAACAATACAAACATAAACACAGTGCAATACTAAAACATAATACAGTGCAACCAAACCAAACCAACCACCCACAGATAACAGTACATACAAGCAAGCGTCGTCAGGCAGGCCGGGTCAATATCAATAGGGCAGGTAGGTACAGGGGGAGCAAGCGGAGATTGGTCGGGGTCACAGGCCAGGTTCAGCAGGTAGCAAGCAGCGTAGTACAGAGGGTCAGGCAGAGGGATGTCAGGTCAGGGTCACAAGCCAGGGATCAGAACAGGTAGCAAGCAGCGGTTCAGAAACAGGATGCAGGACAGAAACAGGATACAGGGCCCAGGACAAACACAACACCAAGGCAGAGTCTGTGGGTCTGGCCATCCCTTAAATACCCCAGCATAATCAGTTCCAGGTGTTAGCTGGCTGCAAAGTTGAGTCTCTGATTGCTGGGAGCATCCGCTGGCCAGCCCTGGTACTGCAGATCAAAAGGCAGGTGAGTCCCACCATTGCTGGCCAGTCCATTCCTGACAGTCTGTGTGTGGTGGCTCTTGATGCACTGACTCCAGCCTCAGTCCACTCCTTCTGAAAGTCCCCAACACTTTTGATTGGCCTTTTCCTGACAATCCTCTCCAGGCTGCGGTCATCCCTGCTGCTTGTGCACCTTTTTCTTCCACACTTTTCCCTTCCACATAACTTTCTATTAATGTGCTTTGATACAGCACTTTGGGAACATCCAACTTCTTTTGCAATTACCTTTTGAGGCTTTCCCTCCTTATGGAGGGTGTCAATGATGGTTTTCTGCACAACTGTCAGGTCAGTAGTCTTTCCCATGATTGTGATTTCTACTGAACCAGACTGAGAGACCATTTAAAGGCTCAGGAACCCTTTGCAGGTGTTATGGCTTAATTAGCTGGTTAGAGTGGGACACTTTGAGCCTAGAATATTGCACCTTTTCACAATATTCTAATTTTCTGAGATTGTGGATTTGGGGTTTTCATGAGCTGTAAGCCATAATCATCACAATTATGACAAATCACGGCTTGAAATATCTTGCTTTGCATGTAATGAGTCTATCTCATATATTAGTTTCACCTTTTAAGTTGCATTACTGAAATAAATTAAGTTTTGCACGATATTCTAATTTTTCGAGTTTCACCTGTATAACGTCCTCCCACTCTAACCACGTGAGCGCTTCCCCTGGGGCGCGGAGATCGGTGGTGCCCTGTGTCCCTGGAACACAGTGGATCACCAATCAACGGAAAGAGCCGATGACCTTGGCTCTGTCATGCGATCAGCTGTATCCAATCACAGCTGATTGCATGTAAATAAGGAAATGCTGGTTATCAGCATTTCTCTCCTCACGAGCTGTCATGCTGACAGCTCGTGAGGAGAGCTGGTAATCGGCATTACTCAGAGGGGACATATGCACTGATCATCAGGGTACTGATGATCAGTGTGCCCTGATTATCAGTGTAGCCCCATCAGTGCCACCTGTCAATGTCCATCAATGCCACATGTCAGTGCCCATCAATGCCACCTGCCAGTGCCTATCAGTGCCACATATCAATGCCTACTAGTGCACATCAATGCCACATATCAGTGCCCATCTGAGCTGCCTTTCAGTGCCACCTATCAGTGCTGCCAGTCAGTGCTGCCTACCAGTGCCAGTTAGTGCTGCCTAACAGTGCCAGTCAGTGCCACCTATCAGTGCCGCCTAACAGTGCCAATCAGTGCCACCTAACAGTGCCACCTTACAGTGCCGCCTATCAGTGCCATATATAAGTGCTGCCTTTCAGTGCCCATCAGTGATGCCTGTCAATGCCCATCAGTGCCACCTATCAGTGCCCATCAGAGCCGCCTATCAGTGCCCATCACTGCAGCCTCATTAGCGCACATCAGTGAAGGAGAAAAATCACTTATTTACTTAATTTTATAACAGAAACTAAAAAAAAAATTTTTTTTTCAAAAATATTCGGTTGTTTTTGGTTTGTTTAGCAAAAAATAAAAAGCCCGGAGGTGATTAAATACCACCAAAAGCTCTATCTGTCTCAAAAAAATGATAATTTCATACGGGTACAGTGTTGCATGACCGTTCAATTGTCATTCAAATTGTGACAGCACTGAAATCCGAAAATTGGCCTGGGCAGGAAGGGGGTATAAGTGCCCAGCAGGCAAGTGGTTAAATGGGGTCACTTTAAAAGTCATGAACACTGTTCAGTACCATGGACAGCAACCTAGTTTACCAAATTATAATACAAGTACATTACATAAAAGCACGCACAGTAGAGCCTTCCTTAAACAGAAGGTATCGACATGTCTCAGGTTTACTACTCATTTTAGGAGAGTGGGTGTAGCCACACAAATGTATCTATTTATTACAGGTACTTATGTAGCATCGTCAATTTACAAAGTGCTTAACATACAGTATACAGTATATTGTACATTCACATCAGTCCCTAACGCTCAAGGGGCGTACAATCAAAGGTCCCTAACTTACATTCATACAGACACATACTAGAGCCAATTTAGACAGGAGCCAATTAACCTACCAACATGTGGGAGTAAACCGGATACACTTGGAGGAAACCCGCGCCGGCACAGGGAGAACATGCAAATTCTTTGTAGGTAGTGCCGTAGTTGGGATTTGAACCAACGACCCCTGCTAGGCAGAAGTGATAGCCACTGTGCTGCCATATTTGATTTCTTTATGCTCCTGGGTCAGCTGTGTATTTGAAACCAGTGGCTTACAGCACAGAACCAGCCTAACAATAGCCATGCAAATATCTTCCATTTTAAGATGGTGTACTTGTAATATTGTTTGCTAAATGAACCCCTCCAGGGGTGTGGCTGAGACCGATGTTTCAGTTAGATAGATAAGACCTCAACATTCTCTGTAAAAACCTTCCATAATCCCTCCTTGTGCACGGAAAGTGATCAGCTCACAAGATTTCTGCCAAAATAACCAGGTATTTTTTGAACTTCTTAAATAGATATTCAATAAACAAAAACATTTTAGGCCTGGTTCACACCTATGCATTTTTTATGCTTTTTGCAGAAACACACTACAGTCCATTTAACATAATTTCCTATGGGAAACATTTACATCTATGCTTTTTTCCGCCACTACATTTTTGAAAAGGGTCGAGGATGTTTTTAAATGCAAAGCTGCGTGTTTTGGTTCAATAGACTTCAATGGAGACACTGCAGAAAATGCATGTAGTGCGTTTTTGACACTTTTTTTTAATGCATTTTACATTTTTTAATCTTCCCAACAACAAATTAGTGAAAATAAAAAAAAAAGCATAAAAAAATGCAAAAGACATTAAAAAGATTTGTGAAGTACATTAAAATATGCATGCACAAAATTGCACAAGCACTTAAAAAACTGCGGAAATGGATCAAAAGCAAACTGCATAGGTGTGAACAAGGTGGTATATTTAGCAGAATTAATGCTGCTTTCACACTGATCCATTTTTCTTCCACTTTTGCGTTAACCACTTGCCAACTGCATAACCTAGTTATACGGGGGCAGAGCAACTCTCCTGCACCAGACCAACTATCTAGTATATGATCCGCAACTTCCAGGTAGGAACGCACACTGCCGGCGACCTGGCTGTGCTGTGATTAGACACAGCACAAGCCTTTCAGTGGGTGCTGACCAATGGATGGCCGCTGGCACCCACTGTTCAGCAAGGAGAAAGACAGAACAAGGCAGAGCTCTATCTTGTCAGCAGGGATGTGCTGGATTTTGTTTACCAGCATAGCAGGGAATAAAATCCAACACATCTCTCAGTGAAAGCAGCACATAATGCATGCAAAACCACTAGTTAGGCACACATTTAACCCTTTGATTACCCTAGATGTTTAACCCCCTCTCAGCCAGTGTCATTAATACATTGACAGTGCATATTTTTAGCACTGACAACTGGTTCCCACAAAGTGCCTAAAGTGTCAGTTAGTGTCAGATTGTCCGCTGCAATATTGCAGGCCCACTATAAGTTGCTGGTCATCACCATTACTACTACTATAAAAAAAATCAAATCATTAAAAATTCCAGAATATATACCATAGTTTGTAGACGCTATAATGTAATAATCAATATACGCTTATAGTGTTTTTTTTTTTTACAAAAATATGTAGCAGAATACATATTGGTCTAAATTTATGAAAAAATTAGATTCTTTATATTTTTCTTTATTGGATATGTTTTATAGCAAAAAGTAAAAAAAGAAAGATAATTTTCACTCTTTTTTCATTCATAGTGCAAAAAACAATAACCCAATGGTGAACAAATACCATCCAAACCATAAGATGCCACCAGCACCAATATTAAAGACAAAATCAGTGTCACAGATGGACTGTATCTGTCGTTGCAGTGAGTGGACGATGATGGATTCACACCCACACAGATGCCAGGCTGGAATTCCCCAGGCAATGGGGGGAGATAAAATGCTGTAACAGCAGGCAGCTGAACTGAGCAATCTCACACCGTGACAGATCCGACACAACACACCACCACCAACACTGACACTGACACAGATCAGCAGGCACTAGAAGAGCAGGCAGTGGGATCCTGATGATGTCATCACTCACTGATACATTGCACATGTGAAGGATGGACGGATGGCCAGGTCACACTCATACAGACACGAGAGATCAGAATCAGACATTACTTTCCTCAACAGGCGCAGCTTTGCCTTCGCTGGTGAGTGGGAAGAATAGGGCTGGAACTCCATAGTGATCAGCAGCCACCAGCTGGCTTGCAGTAAGGGACTGAGTCTGAAAGGAACACTGGGAGGCACGGCAGTGCAGCTGCTACACTGGCCCCAGACACCCGGTTTCTTCCTCTGTCCTTTATTCCTCCCCTCTGCCACCCCTCACTCATGACGTGACAGCATCCCATACAGAAAGAATGCCAGCTTGTGCTGCTCCCAGCCACCTGCCTAGTTTGCCTAGTGGAAACACAGGCCCTGCTTGTACCCCCTTCATGCATCTTGCACTTTACTATTGGCCAGTGAGTGCATCTATCATGATGATGGGCCAGTAGAAATGTGAGTGAGAAGAAGTAAGGCCACAATCACACTTATGAATGGGGCCATTAGCAATTACATGTGGAAGTCCCACCAGGGGCTTCCAGTGATTAGCTGCAGGTAGAAGCCCCATTAACACTCGATTACCCTGCCCTCCTGGAACAGTGTAGATTTATTAGGCATCTGCTCACCCAGGTCTAAGCACAGTGAAGGTGTTTCAGCCCTGATATAGGGGGAGTTCATGTGTCCCCTGAAATGCTTTGGATTTAGTTTGCTATGAATCCATTTTTTTATCATTAAATCACCGTAGACTCTTGGACACTTGTTTGGTGAGAACGTTTTTTTTCCTTGTATCTATTTTCCTAGGATGTCATACTTTATAGAAATACAACTACAACAAGTGTGCATGGCTATCATTATTAAAGACAGTACAAGAACCAAGTTTGTAAGAAGCTTTAGCAAACCAGAGATGAAGGGTTATTGTATAAGGTGTATATTTGTGCGTGTGTGTGGCGGTGCAAGCACAGAAATGTACCAGATTCCACAGGCTTGTGCTTAAAGTGGTTGTAAGCCCTTACATATACCCAGTTAAGTGACTGGCCTTAGGTGATACACAGAGATGAAACAAACATCCTACACAAGTTGTACCTGTTTATCTATAGCTGCCTTTCCCCTACATCCATTCAAAGTGCAGAATTTACACAGAGTTCTGAGAGCTGGTTGGAGGGGAATGACACACCCTCTTCACACAGCACACCGGAACAGAGCTGAGGCTGTCAATCTGCTGAGGCTCCCTCCCATGTCACCATTTTTCTCTTGGTGTCAAGAAAACTTGTTAGCAGTGACTCATGTAGATAGCAGAGGAATGAGGCAGCAGACAGGATTAACACTCAGTGCTCTGGATTGAGACAAGAGCACACTATAGAGGGATATGCTTTGTTCATATTTCATGTCTGAGGTTTACAACCATCTTAAAAGAAAGATTGCAGTGATACATACTTGTACATATACTGTCAAAAAACAACAAAGAAAAATTCCCAGTTCATTTACCAGTCATCTTGCAACAAACCAAATTGTCCTAACAGTTTACATTAAAGTTTAGTTTGCACACATTTGCAAATATATACAGTGTGCAACCTGCAGGGCCACTTCAGGACACCCTAGTGTATTGTAGTTCTAACTCTATAAATTGAGAGTCTCCAAAATTGGAGCACAAAATTTATAGAGTTAGGACTGCAGTTCACTGGGGTGCCGTGAAGTGGCCTCTGCAACTTATGTATATAATTGCAAATGTGTGCAAACTAAACCCCTTGTTTTAAAGTGAACTGTTAGACAGGGCAATTCGGATTGTTGCAGGCTGGCTGGTAAGTGAGCTGGGAATTTTTCTTTGTTGTTTTTTGACATATGTCGCCCTTCCATGTGCTTTTTGCTGCAAAGGCCAGTTATAGGTTAGGGTGGGTGCCATTTGTTTGTTGAAAAGTGAAGGCTTGTGAGCTGCTATTTGAATATTGAAACCTATTTAAGTGCTAATTGTGAATCGCCTGCACCTAACACACTCATACTAGTGTGCTAAATCAATAATATACTGTACCTTAATGTACCGTGCTTCACTTAAAATTATACATCCAATTGCTATTAATTATATTGCATACCACCATAAACAATTAAATAGAATATGAAAAGATGAATGAAGATGAATAAAAGTGAATCAAAATCAAAATATATATATATTAACCACTTGCCTTCTAGAGGATTTACCCCCCTTAACCTCCCTGGCGGTA